AGTAAGTTACACTACTTTAGTACTACTTCTATACCAAATTTTATTGCGCTAGACACACGCGTTCAGATTATACAGGGTGTGCTCGTGAATTATTTCCAACAGTGTAGAATTGAATTACTACTTTATGTTAAGACGTTTATTTGTTCACTTATTTACAGTTCTAAAAATATCGCAATAGATTTCAACCCACTTATAATGAGTAAAACGGCAACTATTGTGGTTCCTAAAAAAGGGTTACAGGGGACGCTAGATGGAGCACCTTTTTCATAATAATGTTGTCAAAACTTGAGTTCTTATATTTAGCGTTCCCAATCACCCATTTTCGAGTCCTGCAATAGTTACTATTCTGAAACCCAACCATATATTAATGACTATTACTTAATACTTAATATTAAACGGCCAGGTAGCAGAAACCTCTAGCATTTTAATCTCTCGTGTTAACGAACCGTAAAAGATGGATTTTTTAATCTGATTATCTAGGTTTTTGATAAAACTCGATTAAAATTATATGAAAGTTTCTGCAACCGAGCATTAAAACAATGAAATATACATAGAAATAGGATTTCACAATAGTTATCGAAAGTTAATAAAGACAAACTAAATAAACTTAACACGACCCAGAAACATAAACATCCCCATTTGAAAGTTCATGTAGATTAAAAGGGGTTTCAAAAAATATATCATTAATTTGAATAATTTTAGTATTTCGTTCATTATTATCGGAAATCACTTTGTAACCCTTATAATGAGAACTATATTCACGTGTATTCATGTAGGACTGCTGGGGAAATAAATAAAAAAAAAACACGCATTCAGTAACTATAATTATAATGTTATTAAAAAAGAATAAAAACAAAACAAATCCAGGTAATGTCGTTTGTAACTATGAACTTGTTTTATGCATTTCAACAGTTATGGTCTCTGATATTAGTTATATATCGACTCAAGAACGTGTTTTCTGTTAAGCGCGCACGTCTTCTTCTCTTAGCTGCGACCGACTGACTCACAGGCCTATCTCTCGTCTACTCCTCAACCGACGACAGCCGACACTTCCCGATTCCATTCCCACATCTCGTCCATCCTGACTGACATTCGCCTCGAATGTATCTTCATCTGGACTGTCATTTTCTCCAAATGCGTCTTCATCCGGATTGATACTGACCCAAGGTTTCATGTTGTCTACACTCGTAGTAGTCTTCCGTGGTCCTGCATGATCTCCAATCTTGTCTACTTCATACCGGTCTGGACCTATCTTCTTAACGACACGATAAGGACCTAGGAACTTTGGCAGTAACTTTGACGTATTCTGGAATTGTGTCCTCTTGATGGCCACCCATTCTCCTTCTTCATAGTTCCTTGCTAGTTTTCGTTTCTTATTATAGGTTTTCATATTTTCATCTTGAACTTTTTTCATTTGCTCTTTCGCTTGTATTTGCATGTGTTCTCTCTCTTTCACAAATGAGTTTATGATTTCTTCTTCTACCATCTCTTTCAACTTTATTTGGTCTTTTCTTTTCATTTCTACTCCAAAAAGTAATTCAAATGGGGTTCGACCAATACTCCGGTGATATGTACTATTGAGGATCTCTTGCAACTTTCTAACATGTCGAAACCAATTTTCAGGTTGTTCGATGCATAATTTGGTTAACGTTGGTATGATTACTCTATTGACTCTCTCAACCTGTCCATTTCCTCGTGGTACGCCAGTTGTGATTTTCACATGTTTTATTTTCTCGTCAACACAATAGTCTTTGAAATCCCTTGAGGTAAACGCAGCTCCTCTGTCCGAAATAATCATCCTGGGACTTCCAAAAATTTCTTTCTGCTTTTCTAGTTTTTCAAGAACTTCTTTTGTTGCTGTCGTTTTTGTTGGGTGTATCCAAACGAATTTTGTAAAAGAATCAATGACTACAAATAAATATTGATATCCTTTTCCTGTCTTTGTCATAGGACCTAAATGGTCTATATGATAGGTCTGCAATGGAGCATCGCCCTTTTCTATTGAATTCAAGTATCCTTCTTGTTTACCCATCTTCCTCTCGGTAAGTATACATGGTACACAGTTCATAATTAACTTTCGAATCTTCTCCTCTAGGTTGTCGATATAATATTCTCGTTCGATCAAGTCTTTTGTTTTCTTCACTGCGAAATGACCATTGTCATGTGCACTTCGTATTACTTGGTGTTGCATTATCGTAGGGACAACTAGTAGTTCACATCCATTTTTGTTCTTATACAAGATGCCATTTTTTAGTTCATAATCCCCATAAGGTTGAGTTTCCAATATTTTCGTAATTGCCTTAAGATGTTCGTCCTGTAGTTGAGCCCTTTTCAATCGCTCTAGAAATTCTGTTTGTATTATCATTGTTATTGGGTTCCGACTCAGTGCGTCACAATGCTTCATTTGATTTCCTGGCCTATGTTGAATGGTATAGTTAAACTCTTCGAGCAATAAAGCCCATCTAGCGACTCTGGTGCACAGGTCTTTTTTGTTCATTGTAGCTGCAAATGCTGCACAATCAGTTAAGATTTTGAAGTGTATGCCCAGCAGATACACACGGAACCTCTTTAAAGCTTCTATGACAGCCAGCACCTCCAATTCATAGCTGTGATATTTCTTCTGGGTATCATTTGTCTTTCTACTCCAGTAGTAAACAGGATATAATCTTCCGTCTTCTTGACACTTTTGCAATAACACTGCCCCGAATCCGTCTTGGCTTGCGTCTACATGCAGTTCAGTTTCCTTGATATGATCAAAGATTTTCAATATTGGTTCTGTACTTAAAATCTCCTTTAGTTTTCTAAATGCAACTTCCTCTTCCGGTCCAAATGAAAATTTCTTTTTTCCTTTCAGAAGATCACTTAGTGGTTTCGCAATCAAAGCGTAGTCTTTGATGTACTTGCGGAAATAGCCTGCCAATCCCAGGAAACTCTGAACCTTTTTCATTGTAGCTGGTTTTGGAAAATTTACAACGGCTGCTACTTTCTGCTTGTTAGGCTTCACTCTTCCGTTTTCTATTTCGTGTCCTAGATATTCCACTTTAGTCTTTAAAAACTGACATTTCTGCCACTTGAAATCTAATCCAAACTTCTTTGCTGTTTCCAGAACTTCTTCTAGTCTTTTTATTGCTTCTTCGACATCTTCCGCTGGTATTATAATGTCATCCATGTACATAATAACTATTCCCTTTCTCATTAACTCCCTGAAAACATTATTGACATATCGTTGAAATACTGCTGGCGAATTACATAACCCAAACGGCATGCGCAAGAATTCAAACTGTCCACTCGGAGTTACGAACGAGGTATATTTTATACTATCTTCTGCGACTGGTACGTGAAAAAATCCATTTTTCAGGTCCAAAGTCGTAAATATTCTTGATCCTGTTAGTTGGTCAATAACGTCTTCGATCACGGGAAGTGGATAGCGGTCTTTAATAATCTTTCGGTTTAGCTTTCTGAAGTCAATGCAAATTCGAGTACTTCCGTCTTTTTTCTTGACTAAGACAATCGGACTAGCATAATCTGAAGTGCTTGGTCTTATTTTACCAGTGTTGAGCCATTCCTCGATCTGTTTTTCGACTTCGTATTTCTCTGGAATTGATAATCTTCTTGGAGGCTGGTACACCGGTATGTCGTCTTGAAGGATAATCTTTACCTGTATGTCTGACGGTGGTGTAATGACTTCTTTCGGCTTATATTATTTGTCTGTTTACCTTTCATTTTCTCGTAAAGCTTCAATTTCTCTTTAAATTCTTTTAAGGAATGTGTTCCGTATAGGATCGCATTATTGATTTCGTCATCTACGATGCCGTCAATTACGTATTCGATGAGAGCGTCCTCTTCGATACTTCCTTGTGCTGCTATTTCTCTCATTTTCAATAAGTACTGTTGTAGAGTCTCTTCTTTCTTCCTTTTTCTAGCCGATAACATTTTGTGTAACGCTGCTGTGTTAATTGTTTTCCTAAATTCTCCCTGAAGTTTAGTCTTAAAGGAGTTCCAATTTGAGATTCCTTTTTCCGACTTTATAAATAACAGAGCTTCGCCTTTTAATAGTCTTTTCGCATAAATTAGCATCTCCACGTCATTCCAACCCATCAATGTGGCGGTCTCTTCAAATTCCGTCATCCATTTGTCCACCGAACAAGTGTCACTTCCGTCAAAAGCACTTACGGTGTCTTCCACGTCTTTGAACGTCAAAACGAACTTTGGTACAGTCTTCTTCTGGTTTGTTTTGCCGCTATTTCGACTGGCTGAAAAATGCCACGTCGTCATCACTTTCATGCTCTTCTTCGTCGTTATTTACTAAATCTTCGGCCTCTTCACTCTTGTCGGCTTTCTGTGTTAGCGGCACTCTTTCATCGTCGTCGTTTGTTGCGCCGCTTCCGCATTTCAAAAGTTTCAGATTTGTTAGCTTATTACAGAGCATCCCGATTAATTCTTCTTTATCGTTCGCATCGTTATCGATTTTCAGAACCTGACAGATCGAATTTAGTTCACCCAGCGTGAGAGTGTTCTTTGCAAGATCGATTTTCTCTTTCATAGCGCCTTCGTCGTCAAAATTAAATCCGCTAAATTCTCGTAATCTCTTGCGATTATTACGGTCACCGTCGTTCCCAAATATCAACTTATGACACGCTTTTATCGCCTTCGTTGAGGCTTTTGTAATGTTCTGCTCGATCGGCAAAATGCTTCCCAAAGTATTCATTTTCGAAGCAGTTTTTATACAGAAACCTCTCGCAATTTAATATTCGTAAATAAACATGCAACTTAGTTTTCGTCCTTGTCGAGCCGCGCCGCCAGTGGTCTTGCAGGTGTTGTTTACGTCTTACTGGCGTCAGATATCGCCGTCGCCGAATCTTGTATATTCCCGTCTTCACAGCCCTCGTCTATTTTCCAGCACTATAGTTCTGTTTCAACTTATTTATTAATGTTCGCTTATTTTCACGTATTTCGATTACCGATCGCGGTTGAGCCCCCAAATTGTAGGACTGCTGTTAATGGAAGAAGTGCTCGAGGATGAATGTGAAGGGGAAGTTTGTGTTGACCAGTCCGATCATGATGAGTCTGATCACGAAGATAAATCAGATCATGACACGGATACCGAACAAGAAGTTAGCGACGAAGACGAAGCAGAATGTAATGAATCCTTACCATACTTCAAAGGTATTATTTTGAAATAATATCAATGCTGAATTTCCTCTACATTTTAATTTTTTGGTTTTTAGGTAATGATGGATCAGTATGGAAGAAACATCCGCCAGCCCGTAAAACAGTGCGAACAAGGAAAGAGAACATAATAAGAAGATTACCCGGATGCACTTCAGCAACTAAATCTCTAAAAGAACTTTCTGATATTTTTAACTACTTCATAAATGACGAAATAGTTCAAATTATTGTAGATTCAACGAACTCACATATTGAGTCGATCAAGTCACACTATTCCAGAGGTAGAGATGCGCTTCCTACTAATTCCGTAGAAATACGCCCATTATTTGGCTTGTTATACTTGGCTGGAATTACAGGCTCAAACAAAACAAATACCGCTGATTTATGGGACAGAAATGGCTATGGCGTGGAAATGTTTCATCTTGGAATGTCTGTGCAAAGGTTTCGATTCCTTTTACGAAGTCTCAGATTCGACGACAAAAATACACGTGAAGAACAGAGGAAGACTGACAAAGTCGCTCCAATCCGTGATGTGTTTGACATGTTTCTCGCGAACTGTCAAAAGGGATATCACATGTCTGAATACGTTACGATCGATGAAATGTTGCCTGGTTTTAGAGGACGATGTAGCTTCAGGAAATATATTCCATCAAAACCCAATAAGTATGGCATCAAATTATTCGCCTTATGTGATGCCAAAATGTTTTATACCTCAAAACTCGAGGTTTATGTTGGAAAGCAGCCAGAAGGGCCGTATCAGATGTCTAACAAGCCAGAAGATATAGTGCTTAGACTTTGTCAACACATTTCAGGCTTGAATTGAAACTTAACCATGGTTTGCATCGTTACCTCTAGCTCAAAAATTACTTAGAGACTACAAAATGACTTCTACTGGAACCCTTAGAAAAAACAAAAGGGAATTACCCCCTCAGTTTTCAAAACCTGTAAAAAGACCCGAACATACTAGTATGTTTGCTTTTACTGAAGAGTGCACCATCGTCTCATATATACCTAAAAGAAACAAGAACGTTATTATGCTCTCTACTATGCATCATCATGATGATATAGATGAATCTACTGGGACCTAAAGAAACCAGTCATTATCACCATGTATAATTCAACCAAAGGGGGAGTTGATGTTGTGGACAAACTTATCGCGACCTATAACTGTTCAAGGACTACTAGGAGGTGGCCACTAATCTTATTTTATCAGATTCTAAACATCGCTGGGATTAACTCGCAAGTAGTTTACTTCTCCAATAATCCAGACAACAAATATGCCAGAAGAATGTTTTTGAAAAAGTTGTCTGAGGAACTTATTCGCCCACATTTGAAAGTTTAAGGGCCCGGTTGCTTGATTTTGCCGACCCACCAGCAGACCTACCAGTAGAACATGGTAGACCAGGTCGGTGCGCTTATTGCGACTGGAGAAAAAACCGCAAAACCAAGTATAGTTGTTTTAAATGCAGTAGTAAATACATGTGTTTAGAACACATTGTGGTTATTTGTCAAACGTGCCGCGAGAATATAGTTTAACTAATGGTTCCATTGCCTTATATCTAAGTGTTTAAGTAGTTTTATTTGTAGACAAATTTCATAGTTTGTTTTGGATGTAACTGGGAGTAATTTTATTTTATGTTACTTACTGAACTATGGACTTATTGCAATGTTTTTTTTATATAATTAAGATTTTCATTTGTTACATTATATAAAAATATTCAAATATAACATGTTTTTATAAATCCCCCCAAAAAAAATACAGTTTTTTTTGTTAATCCCACATTTAAAGCAACACGGTCTGTAAGACCGGCGCGACTACTTGTGTTAAAAATTTGAGCGCGACCAACGGAAGATTAAGGCCAGGTAATGATCAAAGGAGAATTGCTTTTTGTGAATTTATGTTGATTAAAACGGAAGATGAAATTTGTTTAGAAAAAATAATTTGGACGGATAAGGCAAAATTGCTGCACTTTTATATCCAAAATTTGAATGGTAAGCTTTTTAGTAATGATACCTATACGATATCTACCATCCTTAATTTCAAAGTCTTTCATTATAATTTGCTACCACTTTTTTTCTTGAACTCAACCCGGTCAGCCCAAATCTCAGGGGAAGCAGATTCCTGGTCCACAATTGGACACTAGCCGTAAACTCACCGCTGAGACCTGCCACGACCACGCTGGGTGCCAACCCGACGCCCTCCCGCAGTGGATGGTGAAGGTTAAATGATAGAAGTAAATGCGTTCCCTCTCCTTTATTAAACCTTACAAATCTCATCAATGTAAACAAAAATTATAAAATTACGGTCGACACAAAAATGTGGTACGTACCATTAATGTTTCACAATTGACAAACGAAATCTTAACAAAATAGACGGTCCAATAAAGAGACAGTGGTTCGTAGTTTCTTCCTCACCTCCCCACACGTGGACGTCACAAATTGGCCCCCCGCTCCCAAGCGTCCGCGTCGTAACCGGCTTCAGGGTTCACTTTTTTTTCGGCCAGACGGGATTGTTGGTAATTTTGTTTTTTTTTTAGTTGATACAAAAAAAACACAGGGATAGAAAAAAAAAAACCCTAGACGGAAATAAAACACATTAGACAAACATTAACAATAACATCACAACGTTACCTCCACTCCGGGAAGCCTGTGTTCAAGGGTGTTAAAAAAGAAGATCGCTATGGCTTGTCGGAAAAATAATCCGGAAAAAAAAGATTCCGCTTGAAAATACTTTTACTTTCGTATTCTCACTTTTGTCACAAAATAACGTTGGATCCCGATACTTCGGATGAGAAGCCCCAATTGAGATAATTGAGTTACGGTCTTCACGCCGTTCACTTCTCAGAATCAGCACGCTTTTCGATAATCCACAAGCAATCCGATCTTTACTGGACACCACCAAGGTTACTCACAAACAGAGGAAGAGACGAAGAAGGAACACATTTTCAAACAAAAATTACTATTTATTCTGGCAACAACGCCCTCTTACCAACAAAAGGATGAATTGATATGAAAAACAAACAAACATAACCCCACAAATATGTAAACAAGGAAAACAAATCTAAATTCTAATAAAACCGTAACAAATTAATGGATTATATTTACCGTAGCACATACATAGATTTTACAGATTTAAGCGGCCAAAAGTCAATTTTTAAAAAACA